TTCTTAATACTAGTTAATATTTTATTACTTTAAATTATTTAAAATAATCTTAAGAAGATAAAGTAATAAAAAAAGAATAGAATTTAATATAAATAAATATATTAAGATAAAGAATACTTTTTAATTTTACTTTTATTTAAAAGTAATTAAGTAATATAAAAAAAGATAAACTTTTATTAAAAAAGATTATTATATCTATTATATCTCTTATATTAATATTATTAAATAAGTTTAAATTTATAAATTAAATTTATAGAAAGTAATAAATAAGTTAAAAACGATATTAGAAAGAGCTAATTTCTTTAAAAACTTTAATAAAATATATTTTCTAGTAAGACTTAATAATAGAGATAGATTATATTATATTATAGAATTCTTTAATTATTAATTAATTAAATTATCTAAAGCTCTTATATAATTCGCTAAACTAGATATAATTCTAAAGACTAATTATAAATTTAGAATATATCTAAAAGCTTACGAAGTTAATTATTTTAGAGATACTACGTCTAAATAATTAATATAATCTAAATAAAAATAAGTTAATAATTATATAAATAATATAGTTACTTTTAATAACGAGGTTTTATTACTATCGTATTATAATAGATAATAATAAGAATTTAGATCTTTTATCTATAAGAGAAATATACGATATATACTTTTCTCTAGATATATGAAAAGAATAATACTTTTTTATCTTTAAATTATTATAAGACTAAATTATAGAATTTATAAGATATTAAATTAAATAAACTACGTGCTATAATTTAAAATAAAAATAAAAATATTTTAATAAAAATTAAGAAAGTTATTTTAAATATAAATAATATATATATATATTTTCTAAATTAGAGCTTTTTAATAAAGCGATTTTTAATAAGCGATATTTAATTTCTTTATCTTTAAATAATTATAAGATTAAATTTTAAAATTCTTAAATCGTTAAAGAGTATAAAGAGCGCTCTATAAGTTAAAAAATTAAAAGATTCTAATAGAAAAAAAAGACGTTATTTTAAAATTAAATAAGATATATTTAATTTTTTAATAAGAATACTTAAGAGAGTTAGCGAGCTAATTTAAATAGTTTAATTAAAAAGTATAATAAATATAAACTTATAATTAGCTATATATATAAATTTAAGATTTTTTAACTTAATTCTATAATTTTCTTTTATATATATTTATTAAAAGCGTATTTTTAATATATTATTTAACTTTATAATCTAGCGTCTTAATAGAAGATATCTTCTATTAATATATATAAAAGAATAAGATAGAGCTAAGCTTGAAAATCTTAAATTTATATATATAGTTAATTATAAATTCGAGTTCTATACGCTTTTTAATTAGATCGACTAAGTTAGCTCGATAGCCCTTTCGCGCTTCTCTTATTAAAAATTTATATATAGAAGTTTTACACTTTAAAGTACTTAGCTTACGATATATATAATTACTTTATAATTTCTCAAATTATAGAGCTCGCTTTACGCTTTCTAACGCTATAAAAATTATAAAGTTTAATTTACTATTAGTAAATTAAATAAATATTTAAATATAATAATTATAATAGTTATATTAAACGCGTTTAAGATTAGATAATAATTCTTTTATCTATTTATATAATTATTCTTCTTTTATTATTCTATTAATTTTATTAATTCTATTAATATAAATATAATCGTCTTCGATACTCCTCGTCTAAAGGTTACTTAATATTTTAAATATATATATCTCTTTTACCCGCCTCTTAGAGCCTCTACTAATATTCTTAAATTACTTCTTAGCGAATTTATTATTATTAGTAATCGAGGCCATAAGCGAGCTTAATAGCTATTTATTACTACTTATAAACGCGTTAAAAAACTCTTAAAAAGAGCTTAAACGAATACGTTCTTCTCTATATACTTCTTCTAAATTAGCGATAGTATCTTTTAATTCAATAATACTATCTCTTAAAACGCGTTTTCTTTCTCTATCTATTCTTTATTACTCTATTTTAAAGTCTCTTAACGCGTATTAGATTCTAAATATTATTAAGAAGAAGCTTTTAAAAATATAATAATTATATTAAACGCGTTCGAGATCGAATAATAATCCTTTCATCTATTTATATAACTATTCTTCTTTTATTATTTTATTAATTCTATTAATTTCATTAATATAAATATATTTACTCTTAATACTCTCGTACTTAATTAAATAAGAGAAGAATCTATAATAGACGAATATAGAGAATACTATAAAGAATATTACGAAGATAGTTATTAGTAATAGTAATATAATAAATCTACTCTTTACGATCTTATATTAATTTATTTAGTTAATATAAGAGAAGTTAATATAATAAACGAATATAAAGAATACTATAAAGAATATTATAAAGATAGTTATTAGTAGTAGTAATATAATAAATCTACTCTTTATAATCTTATATTAATTTACTTAGCTAGTATAAGAGAAGTTAATATAGTAAGCGAATATAAAGAATACTATAAAGAAATTAAGCGATAATAAGACTCTTAGTATTAAGAATACGGCTTAGCTCTTTAAGATCCCACGTTATATACTCTTTACGATTCTATATTAAATTATTACTTAGTAAGCGAAGAATACTATTATAATTTAATTTATTATTTCTATTATATTAATATAGTATATTACTATAATAACGTTATAAGAGAAGAATTTACTACGACGATTATAGCTAATTAGACCTTTACTAAAGAAATATCGAACGATATATATTTAGACGAATTGAAACCATCCGATATCTTACTCTAATAGCTATTTTATTATTCGAAAGATTTTATTATAATAAGAGATAATGTAAGATTTACACCACTAATTAATATATTATCTTTATTTCTTTTCGATATTTCGATACTTCTTATTATAAGAATATAATCTTTCTCTATTTTTTATAGATAATTATTACGAATTAATTCTCTATACTTAATACACCTTTCTAATTAGATCTTAGCGCGCCTCTCTTCGTATATATATATTTATATATAGATTAAAAACGTATAGTAAGCGATTAGAGTTCGATTTAACTTAGAACTAGGGCTAGAATTCGATTTAACTTAGAAAAATCCAACTTCATGAATTTAATTCATAGGCCTTTACTTATTATATTATATTTTCTTTTTATTTATATAGCTCGATAGTCTTATTCTTCTATTCTATCTTATTTATATTAATATTATATTTATATTAATTTTAATAATATTAATCTTACTTTATTATTATAATAATAATAATAAAATAAATAAAATAGATTTTACTATAATATCGAGCTTTATTAGATTTTATTATTAATTTTATTATAATAAGTTTAAAGAAATAAAAGCGATAATTAAAGAAGAGATAAAAAAAAAAAAATTAATATATATAAAAGAATAAGATAGGGCTAAGCTTAAAAATCTTAAATTTATATATATAGTTAATTATAAATTCGAGATTATTATATCTTTTAACTAGATCGACTAAGTTATCGCGAATAAATAAATTAGCGTTCGTAACTATTAAAATCTCTTACTCTACTTTTAATTCTTTAATAACTTTACTATTTTCTATTTAAATTTTAAGATTATTTTTTTAAATTATAGAATGAAATATAGAGTTTTAGATAAAAAAAGAATTTTTAATTTTAGTCTTATAATTATTAAAGCGTAAGGAATTTAAATATCGCTTATTAAAGTTTACTCGATAGTCGAACAGCTCTAATTATAAAATAGATATATATTATTTAATTTTAAGATAACTTTTTTATTTTCTATTAAAATTTTAAGATTTTTCTTTTAAATTATAGAATAAAATGTAGGCTTTAAGAGAAAATAAATTTTCTTAAATTTAGTCTTATAATTATTAAAGCGTAAGGAATTCAAATATCGCTTATCTATTTACTCGATAGCTCTAATTAAAAAAATAATTATAAATTTAATTTATAAATCTTTACTCGTTAAATATAATAGATTAATTAAATTTAAAAATTACTAATTTAAATTCTTTAATATAAAGTCTTAATAGAAATATAAGATATTATTATTATACTAGTTTATTATATAAATTTAATAAAAGATAGACGTTTTAATATTACGTCGAATTTATCGAATTTAAGAGCGTATAAATAGGGGTAATATGCAAATAGGGGTGGAAACGAGTACGGCCCGGCAAATTCAATCAAGCTATTACAATTTAGAAAGGTCGTTGTAACGGAAAGATGCTACTGTTGGCGCCATTCTTAGTTCTCGTGACCGTGGAATTCTTGCGACAGCTCCTATACATTGCGACTCAGCAGAGGATGATCTTAAGCGCAAAATTGTGGGTAGTAGAACTTGTACGCAGTATCCGTTCTGACGATCACACCTTATGAATCCCCTTGAATGCCGTCTTTGTTGATTCGAAAAAACGAAGATTTTTTTGCTCATCTTCAGTTTGAGTGATGAAGGACTCAATACGCCACCAATAGTAGGCCCGAGTAGGCTAAGGAAAATCGGTAGCTCCTCTACCCGTTTCCATTGACACCCACCACCTCGAGTTTTCCAGTCAAGACAGTATCCGTGAAATGTGAATAGTGTTTATGGTGGAGGACAGTCCCACCAAAGGCTTGAGATGCTGTTGATACAGTCGAGAGGAAAATGCCTACAAGGGCACGCTCTCACTCACCCAAGGAGTTCCCGTCAGGGTCAGTAGAACGAGCGAAAAGTGCGCTCCTATCTGTACTCTAGTAAACCTTCAGACGGACTTGCCCAACATTTGCGAGGGCCCTTATCACGTTGAACGTGCGGTATCTTCTTATCATCATTCTCGTGGGGTGTCTGACCTCATCTTGCATGAGAAGTCTAACGACGAATGATAAAATACGGCCGAGAATCTCCCCACAGGTATCTTTAAGACGTTGTGGACTCCTGCCTGCTGAATCTTGAGAAGTTTGGTCTCACCTTGTTCTCCAGCCTGTTTCATCGCCCAAAAAATCCTGCGCATCCCAGTCAGCAATGGACCACAAGAAGTCGTTCGTGGGAGACGAAGAAAGCCCAGTGACTTCGAAGGAAGCCCCCAAGATCACCGTGTCTACGGACGATGGTGGAGCAACAACAGTGCTCTTGACACCGGCGGCGGACCGCGCTTTAGTATGGAAATTTGACTTGCGCATCTTGCCCGTATTAGCATGCATGTATCTTTTCAACAGTCTCGACAAGTCTAACCTCGGAAACGCAAAAACCGCTGGACTTGAAAAGACCCTGAGTCTCAAGGGAAATCAGTACAACATCATTCTGAGCGTGTTTTTCGTTCCATATGTCTTGACGGCACCGTTCTTGGGAATCATGGGCAAGAAATTGGGCCCTAATCGCGTGTTGCCAGCTATGATGTTCTCTTTCGGATGTTTCACCGTGATGGTCACTGCTGTAATGAACTTTGGTGGGTTGATGACTATTCGATGGTTCTTGGGAATGTCTGAGAGTGCATTCTTTCCTTTGGTGATATATTATCTTACCACGTATGTACCATTGCCTTTGTGCCTCCTAGTTTCCTCACATTTCTCCATGTTGGCAACTGATGCATTACAGGTTCTACCGCCGCGACGAACTAGCCCGTCGCCTCGCCCTCTTCTACGCCGCCCAAAGCATTGCATCTGCCTTTTCAGGGATCCTCGCATTCGGCGTGTTCCAAATAGAGACGGGCTCCCTAGCCGACTGGCGCTACCTCTTCCTCGTAGAGGGCTGTTGCACGATCACCTTCTCAGTCTTCGCTTTCTGGTATCTCCCGCAGTCTGCTTCGCATGCGCACTTCCTCTCCCAGGAAGAGAAAGACTGTCAGCGTGTCTAGTTCCTTCTATGTTCTATGCATGCGTCCCTTCTACATCCTTCCATACATATTCCATTATTGTTCCTTTCATGTAGCTAGCCATAGATAGCAGTGCTTTGTTCTCCATCAGCTACATAATGGCTAATAACCCCACCACTGAATCTACACACTTTCTATCATCACCACTACTGTGCTACGCTGAGAGGTTATAAGCCCTCAATTAATACTAATAATACATTAATATTCCAATTATATCAAATTTTAAAAAACACACATCCTTCTAGCCACAATAAGCAAATCAGAACAATAAGATAGTGAAGACCAACAGCCTATCACACCCACACTAGAGAAGTTATAAGAATTATATAATCTACGAATCTAGAAGACAAATTAGATAAAGCCTAAATAATTACGACTTAAGAAGATCTTTAAATTCGCTATACTCTTATCGATAATTAATATTTCTATACTTAAAAAAGTATTTAATTAAGATCGCTAGTATTAAATAATATATAGTTACTATTAGATAGCTAAAATATACTTAATCCTCGCTAAAATACTAATTCAACTATAAGAGAACGAAGAGTATAATAAATAGAAGGTCGCTAACTTATAAATTAAAGATAATATATATATATCTCTTAAATTAGATAACTATATCTATATTATAGATATTTATAATATATATAATATAATTAAAACACTCGAAAGTATATATAAATCTAAAGAATATATCTTTCATAAAGTATTATAAAAGATTATTAGTCGAGTAAGCTTAGCTAACTATAAAGAAGTTACTAAATATATTAAGATAATTAAAAAAGTTAAAATAAAACTCGCTAAGTTAGACTATTAATATATATAAAAAATTATAATATTCTTTCTTTATAGACTTCTCTTCTCTTATAAATTATTTATAAAAATTATCTTAAATAGTCGAGATAAAGATGTTAAGAAAAGACTATTAAAATCGAATTTCGACTATATTATTAAATAACTTCTTAATAAAGAACGTTATTAGAAATTAACTAGTATTAATAACTTTAATAATAAGATTATATTTATAAATAATAAGAATAAGAGAATAACGATAAGAATCGTAATAATAATAATAATAATAAAATTACTCTCTAGTTTAAGTATAACGACGATAGTCGCTATTATAATAGAATTTACTAGCTATCTAATCTCGATTAAGCCTTCGCTAAGTAAGTTAAAAAGAATAAGAATTATATCGAGAAATTTAAGAAGAAAAAGAAGACTAATAAGCTTACTACCTTTATCGAATCTATTAAAAAACTAAAAATAGTAAGAGCGGTCTATGCGAAGGCTATTACGATATTATATAATAATAACTAATATTTTAATAATATAGTCTTATTTTATATAATATATTCCGAAGTCTATTTCGTTAAGAAATTAATATCTCTCGAAAATTCTATTCTAGTTAAGACTGCTAATAAGAGGATATTAAAGATTACTATCATAAATAATACTCTATTAAAGATTCTTATTAAGAATAATAATAGTGAGAATAAAGAATATATATTTATACTTATAAATATCTACTATATCGAAGATCTATTTATAAATCTATTATCTCTAGATATATTTTAATATAATAATCTTACTTATATTAAAAAGAGAGATTATTTAAGAGTTTATAATAATAATAATAATATTATTTTTAAGAAAAAATTAATAAATATACTTTATAAGCTAAGATTTATATTATTTAAAGTTATAATAATTAAAAAGATTACTATAACTATAGTTATTAAGAAAGCTAATTACTAAAAGATAATAGCTATTAAATAATATTAAGTATTAAATTATTTAAATTTTAATAATATTATTAAATTATTAACTATAATAAAGAGAATAAAAATTATAAATAATATTAAAAGATAATTTTATAAGTTATATATCTATAGAAAATAGAAAAAGACTCTAAATTATAAATTAATAATTAAAATAGAAAATACTTTTAATAATATTTATATAGATCTCTTTAATAGCGAATTAATATTATTTTACTTTAAAAAAGATTATTACTATTATTCTATAAAGATTAATTAAAAAACTTAATTTCGATAAATAGACTTCTTAAAAACTAAAAATTAGATACTTAAATTACTATAAAACTTTATTATTATAATTAAAACGTAGTTTTATATTACTCTTAAATATATTTATTTTAATAATAAAAATAACTATAATAATAAGAAAATCTAAGATTAATTAGCTTTTTAAGATATATAATAAAAGTTAATTATATTTAATTCATCTAAATAGAATAATATTAATAAGTATATTAATAATATTTTTATTTAGAAGATATATATCTAATTAATAATTATAGATCTATTATTAAATTTATAAATTAAAACTATTAAAGTAGCTATTCTAAATATAAACTACTTATTTATAATTCTATTAAAAAAAATAACTAAAATATTATATTAGATCTTTATTAAAAATAAGCTAAATATAATTTATTTAAGACTATTTAAAATAACGATTTACGTCTATAATTATAAGTATAAATAAAAAAAAAAAAAATTAAATAAGAGTTTAAATATATTTTACTTAGCTATAAGAAATTTAATTAATATTAATTATAGAATAAATATAAATCTTATCTAATATAACGATATAATATCTTATAAAGATCTCTTTAGACTTTTATTTTATCTTTTAATAATATTAAAAACGATTTAAATAAGATATTAGAGAATAAGAATATTATAAATACTATTATTATTATTAAAAATTTTTTATTATTTCTAAAAGCTTCTTTTTTATTAGCTATAAATAGTAAAATAATAATAAATTTATTTAAAAAAGACTTTAAAGTTATAATCTAAAATTTATTTATAAATTTAGAAAATCTCGAGATTAATTATATTTCGAATTTATCTAAATTAAGTAATTAGAAGAATATTATTTTTAATATATTAAATTTATCTATATCTAATTTATTAAAATATTTATAATAAATTAAAAATAAATTAAAAAATTATAATATTATTTAAAATAATAAATAGATTAATTTTAATATTTTAAAAAAGAGATTTATTAAGTTAATATAGATTATATTACTTATAACTAATATTTAATCTTATATTTATAAAAAAAATAATTAATAAATTTAAAATATTTTAATAAATAATCGCTATATAGAAATAATAAAATTTATTATAGAAGATAAAGATATAAAAGCTAGTATTAAGACTAATATATTATATTATTTTTAAAAAAAATTATAAGAAAAAGCTAAGAGTAGATAATAAAATTCTATATTATAAAATTAAATATATTATTAAAAACTTTTTTTAATAAGAAGATATTAACTATAATAAAATCTTTTTAGAGATTATTAAGTTAATTATATAAAAGATTTTTCTAATTTTAATTATATACTATAATTAGAAAGTAAATCTAATTAATATTATAATAGTATTTCTATATATAAAATTTAAATATAAGATTTATATAAAATAGCTAGAAGACTTTATTAAATTAAATTAAGATTAAATTTATTTATTATTTAGAGTATTATATAGATTAAAATAATTTAATTATAAATAATATAAAATATTAATAAAGTTTCTATTTAAAATTAGATTTATATATTTATAATTTAATTTATATCTATTTCTCTATTAATTAGATAAAGAAATTATCTTTCTAATTATCTATATTAATAATATTAAAATTATTAATAATTAATTATTAATTAATTAGACTAAAAGACTTTTATATAAATAATTCGATATTATAAATCTTAATTTATATATATACTATCTAGATATAAAGATTAAAAGAAATTATTTAATAAAAATATTTAAATAAATTAACTTATATTTATTAATAAGATCCTCGTAATTTATAATATAAGAGAGTATTATATATTATTTATTCTAATAAAATTAAATATAAATAATTATCTTATTTTTATATCTAATATATATATAATTAGCTTAGAGAATATTATTATATTTAAAAGTAATTTAGAGAAAATTAATTATTTAACTATTTAGATATAGTTAAATATAATATTTACTATTAATAAACTCGCTATATTCTCTTTTAATCTAAATTATAAATATTAATAAGTATATAAAAAGATATTATAATATTTAACTAGAATTAGAATATATAAAGTAATTTTTAAAATTATAAAAATAGTAATATTATAATTATTTAACTATTTAGATATTAATTAAATTAATAAGATATCTATAATATAATTAATAATTAAAATAATTATAATATTAAATAATAGATTTATTAATTAAAGATCTACTAAGTAGAAGATTATAATATAATTTATATATAAAATTAAATATATAATTACTTTTAATATTATTTAAAATATAATATAAATATAATATATTCTATTAAAGCTAGAATAATAGCTAGATAAATTATTTATAATATAATATAATAATAAGAGAGTTATCGATTTAATAAAGAATTTTATAAATTATAAGAGATTACGTTATATTAATATTAATTATTATTTTATATACGAATTAATAATTAATTAGATACTAAGATATAAATATATATCTATAAAGAATATAAAGATTAATAATCTTATTAAAGTATTAATTACGAGTAAAGGCCTATAAATTAAATTCATAATCATTTTTTTTGATTAGGGCTGTCGAGTAAATTTGGTAAGCGAACTTTTGATAGGCGACATTTAAATTCGCTATCTTTAAACATTTATAAGACTAAATTTAGTAATTCTTTTTTTATCTAAAAGCCCACAATTTGTTCTATAATTTAAAAAAAAAAATCCCAAAATTTTAATAGAAAACAAAAAAGTTATTCTAAAATCAAATAATGTATACCTGTTTTTTGATCAGGGCTATCCGGCTGTCCGCGATCTTTGGTGAGCGAACTTTAATAAGCGATATTTGAATTCCTTGCGCTTTAATAATTATAAGATTAAATTTCAAAATTCTTAAAAATCTGGAAAGCACAAACAGCGCTTCAAAATTTAAAAAAAA